ACCACCTTCACTAAAAGAGCCACTGAGAGACGGACCGTGCTTATTCAAACTCGGGCACTTTGCAGTCTCCCAAATGTGAACTAAATGAATCTGTCACCTCAAGGAAAACTGGTAATAAGAGTTGGGCTTGCAGGCAAAAATCAGAATTGGGAGAATCTGTATCCTCCACTGTGAATCTGACAGCTTCCTCCTCCTTGAAGACGCTCCTGGAGAGATGGATGCGGATGACGACAGAAGTCATCTTTTGAAATCGTAGGATTAAATGTGCGCTATTTGGAAGATCAGCACACCTTAGAAGCAGTATTTTCCAGGTGAGCAATGCATCATGGTATAAAAGCCTGCGTGAGTGAAAGATCCATCCAAAGTGCAGGACAGACCGAAGGACTTTAATGTACTAGAGCATGAAAAGTTCACAGGCAGGGCGCCCAACTCCACATTGCACAAACCTTTAAGAAACCACCACTTGTGGAGTTTGGGTAAAGTACCAGAGGAGAACGTCCACAATTACCTAGGACACTCCTCCCTTCTCTGGGTGAGGCCAAGTTTCTTTCAAATACTTCAACTAAAACAACTTTCTCAACAGTTTAGAAACAGAAGCCTAGGGGTGCCTGGGTAGCTCAGTCGGTTAAGCCTTTGACTCTTGGTTTTGGCTCAGGTCATGATCTTACGGTCATGGAATAGAGCCCCAAGTCAGGCTCCACACTCAGTGGGTAGTCTGCTTGAGATTCTCTCTCTCTCCCGCCTTCTGCCCCTCCCCCCCATGCTCGCGATCTCTCTCCAAATAAATAAATAAATCATAAAAAAAAAAAAACCCAGAAGCCCATATGAGACCCAGCTGTCTACTATGCCAGACGCTACAGAAACTTACAAAAATGCAAAACCACCCTCTTCCTGCTAATTTTTTTGTTCTGGAAAACAACTGGTTTTCATAAAAAAATACATTTTATGCTAACATGTAACAGGTCTATTGTTATCTCTACATAAGCAATAACATTAACATTTCTCAGATTTCCTTTCCAATACAGTAAACACTAGTAGATACAATTAAACAAAAGGGGGAGGCAGGAGGGTCAGAGAAAAGGTCAGGTGACCACAAAGCAGACAGAGAAGTGAAGGAGGGAGGGGCCGCAAGCCAAGGACCAGCTAGAAAAGGCAAGGAAACAGATGCTCCCCTAGAGCCTCCAGGAGAAACACAGCCCTCCCACACCTTGACTTTAGCCCAATGATACTGATTTTGGACTTCCGACCTCCAGAACTGAAAGAGGATAAATCTGTGTTGTCTTCAGGCACCCAGTTTGTGGTATTGTTACAAAAGCCACAGGACACTCACACAGCTGTCTACCACTTGTAAGCAGCGGAGGCCTGACACCCAGCAGGAGGGCCGCCTGCCCAGGAGAGCATCTCGGAGGCTCCGGGGCCAGCTGCTGGGCCCACCTGGCCCCTAAGTTTCCCGTGGTCACAGCACTTGCCACCTGTCCTGTACAGACCTGCCCACTGGCCAACCACTTGCATAAGGGGATCTATGTTCCTGTGTCCTTGGTATCTGGCTCACCATCAGAACTCAATAAATTTTCATAAAATCAAATTGAAGTTTCAATAAAGTTGACTCCCAAGCTTTTTTTTTTTTTAAGAGAAATGTTGTTTTCCTGTTGACCTTCATTATAAAACGGGGACATTAATTCATACAAAGTGAGGCCATTAAGGACTGAAACTTCCTGGGGCACCTGGGTGGCTCAGTCGGTCAAGCATCTGCCTTCCGCTCAGGTCACGATCTCTAGGTCCTGAGGTCGAGCCCCACATCGGGCTCCCTGCTCAGTGGGGAGCCTGCTTCTCCCTCTCTCTCTGCTGCTCCCCCTGCTTGTGCTCTCTCACTCACACACTGTCTCAAATAAACAAAATCTTTAAAAAAAAAAAAAAAAAAAAAGGACTGAAACTTCCTGTGTAGGAAGTCCTTTGTGCCTCAGGAGCACTGTGGCAGTGTCACCCTTGGAAGGGGCCCCTGCATGCTGCCCGTAGTGTTTTCCCAGCACAAGGACAGCGCTTCCTTTGCAGGCTTTGCTCATTTGCCCCCGATTCCTGACCCAACACCTCCTTCCCCTCCCCCTGGCTTCCACACTTGGCGGGCAGATGCCAAAGAACACTTCCGTTCTAGTCCACCTGGCCGGGGAAACACATCCATGGGACTGCCCTAGGCTGCACCAGTAGGAGGCACACGGGGAGGAAAGGCATCCCTTCTGAAAGGGACAGCCACCCAACCAAGAAAGAGAGAGCCGGGCACATAGAGGCAGGCAGCAACAGTCTGAGTGGCCAATGGAGGGAGAGGGCACCTGAGACACAGGCTCCTGGGGGTTCCCACAGATGGGCACAGAGCTCTGCCCTTCCCTTCCCTTCCTCCCAACCCCCACCTGACTGCCACCTGACCCTCCTTCCTCTCTACAGCCACTCTGCCCCCACTCTGCCCAGCTAAAATTCCTCCCGGACACCACGCCCTCCTGGTTCCCCTCGGCACACACATGACGCCCCCCCCCCGGAAAATTCCCACTCGTCCTCTAGCAGTCAGATTAAATGCCCCTTCCTCAAGGTGAGCACCCCCATCCCCCACCGGTTGCTCCCCCACAAGGGATCCTGTCACAGAAGGCCACCATGCTTCCTCGGTCTCCACATTTCTCTTGTCCTGCAAGACTGAGCTCAGTGAGGTCAGGGCTGGGTCCTCAGTGAAAATCTTTTTAACAATTAAGTAAATAATTAAATTGCACTGTGGAGGACTTAAGAATGCTATGGAGAGAAGACAGGACCTTTGGGGCTGGATGAACAATAAAGAGAAAACAGAGCGGCTCCATGCTTTGAGCCCACAGAAGGAGCTCTCCAGGGGAGAAACAACACAAGAAAATGCACCAGGTTTCACCGAGGGCCTACTGTGAGCCGGGCACTCACAGACCTTTTCATGTGTATTATTCCGACAACTGTGTAGGTAAGTATCACAGACAAGGACAGTGAGACTCGGGTTAAACGGCCCGGCCAAGGTCACACAGCTGGTCATGACCAGCCTCAAAGCCATTACAATCAAAGCCAGGAGCGGCCCTGGAGCCCATGGTAAGACCCAGGCTGAGGAGCCCCGGCTAACCTCCGCGGTTCTCAGACTTCAGGGGAGTCTCTTGCCTTCCCTGGATCTGGGTCTCATCTACAGGATGAGGGGACTATGAAGTCTCCCAGCGGGCTCTGCTCTGCACACCTCTTGTGCTCCAGTGCACACAATGATGGAGATTGCCAAATACCAGGTCTCTCCAGTGGGGCAAAGACAAGAGAGCGAGTGTGAGCAGCACAGAGGAGACAAGCCGAATTCAGTCTCCTTGGGCAGGGGGTGCAGAGAACAGGGAACTCCAGCGCTGAAGAGGTAAGCCAGGATGAAATCTCGCCACCGGTGGTTCTCTAGAGAAGGGGGGGGGGGGGGCAGGAGCCAAGAAGCTGTGCGAGCAGAGGGAAGCTTCCTTCCAAGCAGTGAACAAGATCTGGGAAAAGCTTTAGGAAGCTTTTTTGGGAGTAAGTGGAGATCTAATCAAGCACTGCCTAGAATTCCCTCACTCAAGCAATCCTCTGCATACATACCAGGTGCCAGGTACTGGGGAAACTGTCCTAAATATAGCAGACAAGCTCCCTGCCCTCATGGAATGTATCTGGTGTGAGGCAGAAAGACAGGATATAAGTTAGCACACAAGGAAGCCATGGTGCGATCTATGAAAACGACAGAAAGGTGTGGAGCGTGCAGTGAACTGGGACGGAGACTGGGTTGGAAGCGGAGACCGCTATCCACAATCATAGGACATAGCAACACTGAAGACAGGAGCGGATCTGAGAACGGAGCAGTCTTCTATGGAGACAGGCCCTGGAGACGCGCACAGGTGAGGCCTCGAGTCGGAAGGAAAGCTTAGGAGAGCAAGCATTCGGGCTGCGGGAAGGGCCCAGGTGGCCAGCTCTAAGCCGGTCAGGAAGTCAGCGAGATGGACAGCGGAGGGGAAGGCGGGAGTGGATCCAGGGGTGGTCAGAGGCAGGCAGGACCCGCAGGGCGGACAGAGCCTCCTGCAAGAGCCAGAGTCTAGCAATCTCCAAATGGGCGGCGGCTCTGCGAAGCGCCAGCAGGGAACAGGCACCCGGCCAGAGATGAGGACGCAGCCGGGGCACAGGCACCCTGCAGGGGTCCCCCACTGGGGTCTGGCCGAGGAAGGGCTGCGGGACGCCGAGTGCGGAGGGCCAATGTCAGGGTCTCAGCAAAGCCCAGGCCGTCCGCACCGCGCTCTTCTGAAGCCGAGCGGCAGCAGAGGGGCGCAGGGTCAAGGGCAGAATGCGCAAGCTGAGCCCCAAGGACCCCCGACGCCCACGGGCACCCCGGGCCGCAGCGAGTGTCAAGACCCGGGCGGGATGCGAATGACGCGGGTACCCGATCCCCGCGGAAAGCCGCACGGAGCACCCCCACCCCGGGCCCGGGGAGCCCCCGGCCGCCTCGGCCGCCCCCTGCGCTCCAGGACGCGTCCAACCTCCCCCGCGGCGCCAGCCGGCATGGTTCCGCCCGCCGCGGGCCGCGTTACCTAGGAGACGGGCCCGCCGCCGCCGCCGCCGCGCCCAGGCCGCCGAGGCTCACGCTGTCGAGGACGTGCCCCCCCGACGGACCCAGAGCCCCGCCGGCCTTCCGGTACCCGCCGGAGCCCCAGGCCTAGCGGGCTGAGGACCGGCCGCGGGTCTCCCGATCCACCGCCCCAGCGGGAGGAGCCTCGGCAGGCTGCGCGCCGCGCGTCCGGGCCGGGAACCCGCCCCGCGTCAGCGTCGTTGGCAGGGCCCCGGGACCAATCGGAGCCCAAGCCCCGAGGCTCCGCTCCGGTAGCGCCGGCGAATCGGCGCGGCGGCGGGCCCGTCCTGATTTGCATGGCCGGCGACCCCTCAGCCAATTGGACTATGACTGGCGTGAAGGACAAACAATGAGAAGCTAGTAGAGGCGTGGCCCCGGGCGTCCCACGAGGTGAAGATGCTGCAGGCGGAACCTGGCCGAGCGAGCGGGATTCGGGGGCGCTAAAGTCGCCGGGGCAGGGCGGGAAGGAAGATCCGGAGCGGGGCACAGGATTCGGAGCTGGAGCCCCCCAGGTAAGTGCGGGGGGACCCCGGCGGGCCGCGCTGTCCACCGCCGTGCGCCGAGGCAGCGGCGGCGGGCACCCGCGAGGCCCGCGCTGATTCTCCATCTCCTCTTCCACAGCGCGTCCCCGCGCCCGCCTCCGTCCTTACCTCCTCTCCAGCGGGCTCACCTCCTTCTCCATCATCTCCCTTCCCCCATCCCGCCCGACCTTTCAGCTCCCATCCCCGACCCCTGCCCCAAACTTCATCCCTCCCTTCGTCCCGGTGCATTCATCCCCATCTCTGCCACCTCCCCTTCCCGCAGCCTCGCCTCCCCCTGCCCCCATCCCCCCTTCCCATCCCCTCTCCCGGCCTCTGCGCAGCCCCATCCGAGCGCGCCTGGTCACGGACCTCCGCGAGATTGCTCCCGAAGGCTCATCCTGCCTCTCGCTCCCGATCCCTGTCCCCATCCTCCCATCCATTCTGCTCCCAGCCCCTCTGTCTCCTTCTGTGGACGCTCTCCCTCCACCTTGCAGATCCCCAGGACCTTGGCACTCCCTTCCTGCACCAGTTCCTCTGGCTACCTACACACCCAACCCCACCCAGCCCCGTCCCTGTGCCCCTTCCCCGTCTTCAGCTTCTCTTCTCTCCCTGCCTCCCTACCTGCTGCTGCTCCCGCAGGACGCAGGGACCCAAGCAGCTGCACCGCTCTTCCTGCCGCGGCCGCAGCAGCCCGTGTACCTGCCCACCTTGCCACCCTCCCACCCAGGCGCACCCTGGCTCCGCTCCTCCTGCCGTTTGTCCTGGGGGATCCCGGAGGGGACTGCGCTTTGCCTAGAGCATCCTGAGGGGCTCCAGGTGGGAAGCCCCTTGGCCCCCTTTCCTGCCTTCCTTCCTGGCCACCATCACCCTCCCCACCCCACCCCCACTTCCCGGCTCAACCTCACTTTGTGATTCAGCATTTTTGGGGTTGGTAACTTTCTTTGCTTCCTGGCATGACAGGACTCGACTGTGGGGCTGAAGGCTGGGGATCTTGACCTGGCAGTTGGTTACCGTGGCCACCTTAGGAAACAGACCTGAGTTGCCTGGTGGGGAACAAGAGTGGGGAGCAGGGGACCGGCCAGTGGGGGCTGCCTTCTCTCCCTTCCATTTGTCTGTCCTGTGTTGAACCGCATCCAAGGAGAGATGACATAAGTCATAGCTCTTGGGGAAATGGGGTATTAGCATTTATGGAAATTAATACATCCACACCCGAGGAGTAAGAACACCCAGTTCAGGCCACAGCTGTCCCACTGTCTGTTGTTTCAGGATTCCTTCTTTCTCTGCAACTTCTCCTCCCCCTCAAAAACGCCATCCCCCTTCCAGTGCCAAGAGCAAGCTCCCACTCTGCTAACACATTGCAGGGCTTGGGGACCTGCGTGTGGGGAGCCCCATCTGCCCTCCTGATTGTTGCTTGGAAAAGCATCTACCTGCAGAGCCAGGCTCCTGTGCGGTCCCTGGGCTCCTGCCTGTGTGCTCTCTCAGCAGGGGCCCAAAGGGCATTGGCTCCCCAGGTTATGTCCTTTAGAACGCTCCAGGTCCATACCCAGCCTCAGTGGCACTGATGGTGTTTGGGGTACCGTACAATCCTGCCTGGAAAACAACCTGGGGGAGGCATCCCATATAAAACCAGGTCCAGCTGCTTGTGTTTCTCTCTACCCTGCCAGTGGCCAGACACTAGGCCCTGCTCAGCACCCCCAAGACTGAGCCAGGCCGTGGGGGATGGGGGTCATGAAAAATGTGAAACCCAGGTGTTGTGCTCACAACCCTCTTGGGTCTGGATGTGGAGCCTGGATGGGAAGAAATGGGCCCCAAAGCAATTGCACACCACAAGTGTGGAAAGGCGGGACACCACTTCTTCCTTGTAAAGGTCAGGGCCGGCCGTGGGCGCTGGGGGTCTGAGGGGCAAGCGAGCTCTGTGGACGGGACGGCTTCAGAGGCCCCACCGTGTGGGGCTGGCTTTCTTTCTTTCCTTTACTTTTTCAATGATCTTCTAAACCTCAAATGATTCAGGAGGAAGTGAGTGGCACAAGTTTTGATTTGGCAGTTTCCGGTAGGGGTTCAGACGGAGGGGGCCTCCTCCAGACTTTCCTGTTTGTTGGTACTGGGCCCGTGGCAACTGGACAGCACAGCGTGTGGCAAAGGAAGGCCTCCTCGTTACTGGAACCTGTGTAACGTGCTTCGTTTCCGGGGGCTCTGGCTGAAAGCAGCGTGTGTTTAGTCCTTGATGAAAGTCTCGGTGACCTTCATGTCAGCAAAGGTCCCAGAGAAAGAGTGGTTTCCTGGAGTCCCTGGACAACAGGGCCGGGCAGTGGCAGCTGCGGGCAGCATTTGGGGAAGACCATCTCTGATGGTGGCTAGGGCCCGAGACACCGTGCCTCCCGCCATCCCCTCTCCCAGCAGCCAGGGGGGTCTCATGTCATAGAGGCAAAAGGTCTTGGGCATCTTCCCCCCACAAAGGAGTCCACAGGGGCAGATCCCAGATAGACTCTTCACATCCCACTAATGCAAGTGCAGGTCACTTCTTTGACTCTCTCAGTTGGAGGATGCCAGCACCCTATGGATGTGCCCAACCGTCAGGTTTGGCTGCCCTTTGGGATGGCCACTCTGGAGATGTTGCTGACATGCATAGAGGAAACCAATGCCCTGGGGTGTATCTGAGTCACTGGGGAGCTGTTGGGAGTGGAGGATATTATCAAGCGCAGAGAATTCTAGTGATACCATCCTGCCCAGCCTAGCAGGTCCCCAGAGCAAGGGTGCCATGCTTCCAGAGATGTCATCAAAGAGATGGCAGGGGGCCAAGACACTGGGCAAGATGGAAGGGGAGAAGAGACTCAGGTCATGCTGGGCCTGCACTTTAAACCTTGCTCGATGATGGGTCCTTGGAAATAACCCTGCAAGGTGGGCTGGGTAGCCTGGATGGGGAAACTGAGGCACAGAGTGATGGAGAAAATGATCCAGCCTCCCTAGCTCCTAAGGACACCTTGATTCTGTTCTTACTGTGCCAGGACTCTGAGACAGGTACCACCTCCCTGTCCCACCAAGCTCCAGAAATACCAGAAATCCCCCACACACACTCACGGATGGGTCTCAGATGCACTGGAGGGTCAGGGTTCAATCCCAGCTCCCAAGGGACATGGAAATCCACCTTTTTATTTTTTTTTTTTAAAGATTTTATTTATTTATTTGAGAGAGCGAGAAAGACCACATGAGAGGGGAGAGGGTCAGAGGGAGAAGCAGACTCCCCGCCGAGCAGGGAGCCAGATGCGGGACTCCAGGATCATGACCTGAGCCGAAGGCAGTTGCTTAACCAACTGAGCCACCCAGGCGCCCGGAAATCCACCTTTTTAATGAAGGGAAGTCCAACACTCTCAGCCCTCTACTCGCTCTGTGCCCTCCCTTTCTTGGGGGCCACTCTGTGAGGAGACGTGGTCCTTGGCAGCACTTTCTTGGCTCAGCCACTTCAGGGGAAGAAAAGAGAACAGGGCCTCCCCAAGAGAGAGCACACACTGGACCAGGTGGGAATGTGACCCACCTGGTCATGCTGTCAGCTATGGGGGTAGCTCGAGGCTTTCCATTCAGCCTGCCCTTAGCAGGTAACAGAGCCTCCCTGCTGGGTGGGTGTGAGCATCTGCTGTGTCTTCTTACTCTTTGCTGCTTCCTGTGGGGCTCGGCTGAGGGCTGGCCTTTCTGTCCCTGTATACCCCGGAGGAGCTCTGGGCCCAGCACCCCCAGGCCTGAAGGTGCCCCATGGCCACACACCCGGCTTTCTAACTCATAGTCCTGCAGAGCGGGGTCTCAGGAGGCTTTCTGTGCTCTGCCAGATGGCCACATACTTAACCCTGGCGACCTCGGGCGTGTGTGTGGGCCTGGGTGTGTCCCTCATAGCAGAGCCGAGCCCCGCGACACTGGCCCGCATCCCTGGCACCTGCCTTCCTTGACCTTCCTCCTTGCAGGCAGCCCACCACTTCTCTCTCACTCCAGCACAGGCATCTGCAGTCTTGACTCTCGATGCCATGCGGGGCACAGATAAAATAGGATTGGGGCAAGGGAAGAAGCAGAGAAGGGGACAATCTCCTTCAGCTTCACACCCATGCTGCAGACTCCGGGCATCTCCCCCACAGACATCTTGGGCCCCGGCTGCTGGGCCTCGGTTGAGGTCTGTCGTGCAATCGGAGGCTGAAAGCCAGGCACGCCTTTTTTTCTCAGATCCCTGCCCTGAGTTCAGGACAAACCAGAGGACTGGTCATCACTGGGCCAGTTTCCGCAGTAAATGAGCAGCTCCTTGCGTCCCCTCAACACCCGATCTTATCCACGGCGCCCTCTGTCACCAGTCTGGCCCATGGACCCTGGTGGAGAGTTAGCTCTGTGTCTCCCTCAGTCTCTGGCTCTCACCTTCCCAGCCACCTGGCTTCATTCCTGTGCCTCCCTGTTTCTGGATTGGCAAAATGAGACGATATGAGTCCAAGTGTGGGGGCAGTCCCTGGCTCATCAGGGGTGTCCAATCAGTGTCATCTACCCCCTCACCTGCTGCTTCCAGTCGTGGACTGAGCCCGAAAGGTCACCCTACCTGGAACCTGGGTGGCTCCCCAGAAAGCTCGTGCAGTGACTCAGGTCCCCTTCTAAGGGCCTTTGTCATCCCCCTCAGGACTCCTCGGAACGGGCTGCCTGTTCTTGGGGCACAGCCTGCGAGAGCCCAGCTGGCTGCTTTTGTGGAGGGTGGGGAGGGTGGTGCCGTGGCCACTGGTCTATAGAGAAGAGCTTCCCGGTGAATGGAGGGACACGCCTCTCCCTGTCCTCCCTCACCGCAGGCCTCCTGGAGGGCCAGACCACTGCACACCTGCATACCCGTGCAGCGGCCCACAGGCGCTGGCGGGGGGCTGCAGAGCCACCCTCTGAGCACACCCACCCACCCTTTCACCACAGCATGTCTTCATGTTCCCTCCCTTGGTAACCCTGTGATCTTTCAGAGCAAACTCCAGCCCTGATGTCCA